TCTCTCCCTGAGAACCATTCTTTCTCTATTATTTTTGTTGTCATTCTCTGGCCACATGTTCTTGTTCTGCCCATTTTATAAAATTTGGGAAGATTTTTGTCCTCATTTGGGTGGGCTAATACCTGGGGCTGGCTGTGTAAGTCAATATTTACTCAGGTAAGAGCTGTCAAATATGTTGTCCATGCTCACAGAAAAAAAAAACTGTAATTGTAAAAACATCTCTTTGGAATGAGATTGATTCAGAAAGCCCCAGGAATTTGCTAGATGTCCTTCAGGTTTGTTGCGCCTAATAAGGTTTTAGGAAATGCAATTAAACGTACATTATCACAGATCTCACAAAAGTCAGGGTTAATGTCATAATTTGTTGTGCTCTATCTAGCCATTAAGCCTGTGCTAGGAAATTGGGAATTTGGAAATGAACTTAAACCCAGTATGGTCTCTGTCTTCATGGAACTTAAGAGTCTAGTTAGGGAAGATAGATATAGTTTGAACAACCACTCAAACTAGTATAAAATTGCAACTATGCAGTGCAATGAAAGCCTTAATAGGGGATTTGACAAGGAGCTCAGGAAAGGCTTCCTGAAGGAAATAACACAGTTGAGATCTAAACACCAAGTAGGAATTCAAGCAAAATGAGGAGGGGGAGGTTATCAGGCTGAGAAGACAACTGCATGAAGACCCCTGTGGGCAAGAGTATGGCAAATATAAGAGCCTGGGAGAAGGCAAGGGTGCTGGGATTGAGGTGGCAAAGGAAAGCAAGATAAAAGGGGAGGCTGGAAAAACTTTTTCAGGTAAGATCATGAAGGGACTTGGCTTTGTAGAGAACTTTATCTTTGTTCTTATACAAATTGAAAACACTTAAGGGTTTTTAATACTTCCTATATTGCAGTACCTAAGGGCATGCCTTGGTCCAGTGCAGAGGTAGTGGGAAAAGGAGGATGGAATAAATTCAAGAGATATTTAGAAGGTAAAGGCAAAAGAATTTGGAGTTGGATAGCATATGGGGAGTGAGGGAGGAAGAGTTACTGCTAGTTTTCTGACTTCACACATTGGTATGTAATGGTTCCATTGAGACAGGCAGCAGCACAGGAAAGCAGGTGTGATGGAGGGAGATTATGAGCTGGGCCTCAGACATTGCTGGGTTTGAGATACCTTTGTGACATCCAGAGGATATGTAAGAAGCTAGATGTATGAATCTAGGTCTTAGAGGTACATCTGAAGATGTAATTGTAAGCCTTCTAGGTAGAGATGATTGGAGCCATCGGTGTAGATGAAATCATCTAGGGAGGCTCTTTTTGACTAAATATGAAATGACAGTGGTGATAATTTTCTTCTTTCAACATATGAAGAGATAGCTACTGATTTATTTGTGTCTAAATGTCTTGAAATGATTCAAAACAGAATTCCAATCTTTTCAAGTGATCATTCATATTTATCTACCTAGCAATAGGTACCTGAAAATGTCAGAAATTTCAAGAGCCCAGTAAAAGTAAGGTTACAGGAGAGGATAGACTTGCTATGTTACCAAGTTGAGAAGGGAGTAAAAAAATCAAACCTAAATCCCTCTTTATTTGACTGGGCCAAAGCCATGGCATGAATCAAATCAGCCCCACAAAACATTATACTGCTTTGAATTGGGTTAAAGTAAAAAAATTTTTTTCATTGTTAGGAAATTTGTCAAATCATACAGAAAAAAGCTACAATCAAACAGAATTCTCTGGGTTGTCTTATTTCCCTGTTAGGAACAAAATCTACTTTTGTGCATTGTTCACATTTATTAGTAGTGAATTCAAATACTAGTTGCTTATGCTACCATGTAGTATATTAGATTAAAGTTCAGTAGAAAGTATTTGACCTGGAAGTTTCACCCTGGATGAGTCTAGAATTTGGGAGATTTGCTCTTGGGAAGCATTCCTCGAATGCAGAATAAACAGGGCTGTGATTAGTACGTTCTCAGTATGTGCGTGTTTGAAAAGATTATATATTTCTTATGAATTACTAAGCATAAATTGCAAAGTACAGAATATTTAAATGTAAAAATCAATATTTTAAAAATTCTTTAGTTACCGTGCAGTACAAATCACAAAATCTATTGACAAAAAATATAATTGTAGATTAGTCCTTACCATCACAGTAGCTATGATATTGAACAAAATATTGTGTGTTATTTTAACCCTTAGATTGTCTTCTGGCCCTGATTTTAGTTGACTCAGTGATTTAGTTGACTCTCAACAGAAAGCTCTGCTCATACCTGTATACTGGAGCAAGTTCTTCAGAATGCCAATGGGAAGTGTTTCTGCTAAACTCCAGTTTTTATGCGGTAAAAATTCTAATAAAGAAATTGTTCACAAGAAGTTTAAAAGATAAGAAGGAGGGAAAACAAGGGCTTAGCTAATTCATAAACTAGAGTACTCACTTCTAAAATCTGAAATTTGGCATTCAAGTGGCTAAATGACAGACCTTGGCTTGTGACCTCTTTTCCTGTGGCTTGTTAGGTTGTTCCAGGAACTGGAATGTGATATTTTCCCTCAGTTAAGGACTCTACATCTTTCAGTAGAGGAAGGCACTAATGTAGTGGGATTGGCTGCCAGGCATGCTGAGAAGTAGCCTCCAGTGGTGTCTGTAAGCACAGGTTTCACTCGATGCATAGGTTGGATTTATTACTGATCATCTCTTGAGTTCTCCACGTGGAGCAGACATTTCCCTACCTGAGGAAGGCTTTGCTCCTGACATTGTTGGATCAGGTCTTACTAGATCATCTGTGTGTGCTCTGCCTGTCTGCTGATCTGTGTGCAGCCGCTCACTTTGTCACCAGACTGCGGACTCAGGTGATAAGTAAAACAAACATCTGCCTAAACTGAATCTTGATCCCGGCAATTCAAAGCTACACAAAATTGAGCAAGTACCTTAACCTGTCTATAACACATTTTTCCCACTTAAATAATAGGGGTATTCATAGAACTCATCTCACAGCATAGTTTTGAGGATTAAAAATGACTAAATGCACGTAAAGTACACAGAACAGTAGTGTTTGGTGTTGCTGTTATTATTATTTAGTTCATGCTAAATTTGGAGCCCTAATCAGCATTTGTTCATAGTCATCTTTTGCACTATATGTTAGTAAGCATGGAATTCCAATGATGCAATGCATTCCACTTGGAAAGAAAAATCCTGTAATTGGCCTCTTTCCAAATCTTTCTTTCGTGTGATCCCTGAAGCTCCTCTCTCTTCCTTCCTTCCTCCCACACTTGGTCTTACCCTGAATACCCCATTCCCATCCCTTCTGTCTTGAACTCTTCCAGGCTCTACCTCCTCCACTGTGTGCTAGACCAATTACAGAAGTAATGATTTTTAGAGGGCAGTGTGTGGTATGTGTGAGTGTGTATGTGTAATATAAAAACAAAGTTGTTTTATGCAAACATTAAGGCAGTTATGTCTTACACAGTGTCATTGTTGTAGCTTTTATAAATAGTGGAAACCTTGGAAGGAATGTTGTGACCATCAGCCAGGATGCCAAATTTCAGAGAGTGGGAAGGTGCAGTACTGCCTCCAGGATCCAACCTAACACAGTCTGAAATTATCATTCCCTTCCAACTACATCCTTTTTAACATAATTATTATGCTTTTGCATTGATGTCTGAAGTGCTCATCCTGTAATAATTATTTTATAAGAAAGGAGCCTATGAATGTAGTAGAGGTGTTTCTTTTCCTTAAAATGTTTTTATTTTTTCTTTCAAAAGTGTTCTAATTCCGGGTACATAAATATATTTAATGTAAGCATATAAAATATGAAGCTTCTCTTCTTGTATCCTCACTTTAAGTCAAATAACTTTCTGTTGACTAAGTCAAGTGCAATTATTGTGTTCTTCTGTTTGGACATAATTCAGTGTGAGACTTGGCAGTTCTTTCTCATTGTGAATTTTGTGTTTGAGGTGCTTTCTGCAGACAGTTCACTATAGACTGCTGGATGTGACTGTTGGTTTCATTTCAGTGATTTTGAAAAAGCTGTGTTTAGAAGTCAGGTGCAAGGTGGATATTTAAATTTTTGTAGAGAAGTATGTAGCCTTAGCAGTGGATCTAAGATTTGCTCTGCTCAGCCCTCTGCTTTGAAGGCATGTTTCTCCATTTCATCACAGAATTTCTGAGAGAAAGGGAAATCTTTCTGTCTTCAGTTGTGCTGCTTGTTACTTCAAGAGAAGCCTTTCTGAGATGGCAGCTTTGGAAATATCCCCTGGATCGATTGCATAGGGGGTTGCCAAGGACTGAAAAGGTCTAGTTCTAAATGGATTAAAACAAGACACATTACTTTGTATATACCCTCAGGCATAATTAATTCACTTCAAATATTCATCACATTATATAAAATATGTCATTTTTTTGTCTTCTCTAGACAGGAACATTCCCTCTATCCTGAAGTGTAAGAATGTGGTCACTTGTAATGTGTCTTATTATGATTCCAGTCTTATTATTCTAGTTTCATTTTAAAAATTTTAATAAGTAGGGGTGTCTGGATGGCTCCGTTGGTTAAGTGTCTGCCTTAGGCTCAGGTCATGATCTCAGGGTCCTGGGATCAAGACCTGAGTTGGGCTCCCCGCTCAGTGGAGAGTCTGCTTCTCCCTCTTCTCCTCCCTCTGCTTGTGCTCTATTTCTCTCTCTCTCTCTCTTTCTCTTTCTCTCTCTCACATGCTCTCTCTCAAATAAATAAATAAATAAATTAATTAAAAAAAAATTAATGAGTTGAAGAGTAACTTCACCAACCATGTAGTATCTTTCTACTCAAGAGCACTACCTAAGAGAAGAGGTGATATTGAATTACTGCTTCTGGATGCTCTTCGTGTTGGTTCCCTGTTGGAACATCAGGTTTTAGACCCAGGACTAAAGAACAGAGGGGACTTGGAATACTTCAGAGCTGAATTTCAGCTGAAGCTATTGTTAATTCCTCAAACATTTTATTTTTCTCACCAGCACAAGAAATAACCAACTTGTTTTGTGCCTTCCAGGTATATTCATTTCAACCAAATAGAAACGCTACAACCAGAGACATTTGGAGACCTTCTGAAATTAGAGCGACTGTAAGTGTTGACTCTCTAGATGTCCTTTGCTTCTGCTTTACTTCTGTTTATACAATGTATTGACTGCCCTGGAGATCAGGTGTAAGCCTAAGAAGCAAAGTCTGCACATTTGTACTATAAGATAGAGTTACGGTAAGCCATTCTATAGTTTGAAATCAATGGAGAAAAGACGAGTAACCCAATTAAAAACAGGACAAAAGCAATGAGCATTTCAAGGAGGTAAAACCACTTTGCAAACTTATGGCAGAATCTACCACAATTAACCATACACATCCCCTATGACCTATCCATCAGTTCCACTTCTAGTTATAGACACAACAGACGTGCACATGTATGCATGTGCACCAGAGTGTGTTCTGGGGTGTTTAAGGCAGCATCACTTCTAACAGCTCCATTGTAGAGCTACTCAAACATCCAACAACAAAAGAAGAGAAATAAGTTGCTGCATATTCATAAAACAGAAGACTATACAGCACATACGAATCTCAGAAACATTTTGAGCAAAAAAAATCCAAACATTGAAAATTGCATAGTTTGATTTTGTTTTTTGAATTCAGAAACAGTAGTAACGTGTAATAGCTAGAAGTTAGACAGTGGTTACCTTTGGAGAGAAGGAGGTGATAGGGAACAGCAGGAGGGAGCTTCTGCAGTCCTGGCAGTTTTGTCTTTTTCTGTTTTCCCAGCTGCATTCACTTTCAGGAAAGTCATCATGCTTATAGCATAATGTGTGTACTTTTCTAGATGAATGTTATATTTGATAAGCTTCATTTTAAAAGTTTTAATAAGTAGGGGTGTCTGGATGGCTCAGTTGGTTAACATAACAATGACAAACCAGAAGGACACTTGGACAGCTTCCTTTTGTGTTGTCTTTTATCAGATGAAAATACTTTATCTCTTCATTTCCTCGATTACCTTATATTAACAAATTAACTGTGATTTTAGCAGAAGATAACAGGTTTTTTTATGAAGAGAAAGAAAGTGCAGAATGATACATCATTCTAAACTTAATCAGGAATCAGTTTGAATTAAAATATATCTGAAAAGAAATTCTAATTAGGAGTCTGTAGGTTTTGAAAATGATGCCCTTTCATACTGATACATGAAATAGGCCAGTAAAATTAAAAGATTAAAAAGAGCTAATCAACCACTTTCCCATGCCATCACTCCAAACTTATCTGCATATAGAAGTATGGGCATTGTAATGAATAAAATTGCATTGTTTAGATTTGTGTGCTTGCTTTGCTGAAGGCATGTAATGGAGGAGGGAACTATACCCATTTCCTGCTCCACCAGGTTTAAGCAGTGAGTTCCACCTTTGGCAAATTCAAGGCTTAGCATCACGATAACTAATAAGTTCAAAGAACTTAAGCCACTGACTTTAATGTTGGGGAAAATTTTGCTGATGAATAAGCATTGCTTTCCTCCATTGAAAACTGGGAAGGGGAGATTCCTGCTCCCCAAAGGAGAGTCCCAAGGCAGTGATGGCATCTCCTACCTTTTGGAGGGGGCTGCTATCTTAGGATCCATGAAGGAGTAGGGAACTGACCAAGAAAAAAGGCTTTAACTTCTCGTTTCCTCCCTATTATGTAAATAAAAACTATATATACATATTTCTTGAAAGATCTCTGAGTATATTAATCACAACATGTTTTTGTTATGTTTCTCTTTTTTTAGTTCTTTGAATTCTCCTGCTTCTTCTGGAGTTGGTTTTTCTTTGTTTTGTCTTGTTCTTTCTTTGCCATGGTCCTGATTAAGCTCCTGTACCTGGTGATCTTTGGTATTTATACTTGAAAATATTGGGCTGGGGGTCTAAGTGGCTCCTGTTCCCTTGTAGGTAGGTCTGTTTTCTTTCAAAATTTCCCATTAGAGGGAATTTTAGTTTGGACAGTTGGGTGGGAAAATGGCAGATTTCTCCATCTAAAATATTAGAATGTGAAAGGAAAGGCTTCCTCTTCAGTTGCTGCTCCACACAAAATCTGTTACTTTTCTTTGTCAATTTTTAAATTTTCTTTAGCGAAAAACCTGTAAAAATAATAAGAAATATATATATATATAATTTTTTTTCCTCTTAGCATTTAGCAGTGCTACAAATTAATTACATTTCTTCATCCACACGTTCAGTAAACCCCATTTCCCATCCTGTCCCTCTACTCAGTTTGGTGTCCTGGGTCCCAAACAATCAGATTGTTCCTGCTTCATATATTCTCTGGGCTTCTGCTTTTTCTGTTTCATCTTCCAACCCTCTTCCACACATTTTGTATGTTTCCAGAGTTCATTGAAATCTCTTATCTGTTGATGACCTTATGCATTCTGTCCTCTTGATTGTTATGGGTTTATTTATTGTATTGACCATCTGGGCTATGTCAGTTGACTTCTGAAAGAGAATGAGGCAAATTTGCATGCCTCGTTCACTATTTTGAGTCAGAATTCTTCTCTCTATAACTTTGAAGTATGTTTGTTGAAATAATATTTTAGATATTAAAATTAAACTATTTTAATTAAGGTATTTCTCAATCTATACGAATTCAGCATAATTTTGTCTGTAACTACACATCCTCAAGTGATGTGCATTCAGCAGTAGCAGCAACAGTATCTAGAATAGTTCTTTACTTATAGGCTTTGATAAAAGCCCCCATGTGTTGTATTCATAAATATCAACCCCTACCACTGTGTGGAATGTTCTTTTCACTGGACGCATGATGTCAATACAAGCCAGTGAAGACCTGCATCTTCATCTTTCCTATGAAGAGAAGAATTAATTTGAAAATCCTGGCCCTTTACCAAACTTAGATTTTTCTCTGGTCAATAAGCCTTATTGCTAAACAATCAATCATAAACTATTTATTATTACATCACCAAGCAAAAGAATCTATACACTTTTTGTGAAACCACCTGGGTTAAAATTTTCAAGCTGAAAATTTAGAGCTTGATGCACAGGCAGAAAATTGCAGTAATGCCTGTTAAAGTATACAAAATTCTGACTTTTTGTCTAATAATTTGTGGTTGGTATCGAAGAACCTGATAACTATGCCATTTCTCCCCAGTGCCACTTGCAAATTGCAAAGTGGTGAGACTATAGACATGCTTTATAAAGCTGGATCCCTGTATTTATTTTTTATATGCTGACTGACCTCAGCAAGCTATAGTTTGTATATTGCATAGTTTTTCTTTTAGAATCTTTAATGAATCTCTCTTTTAAAAATGGGAAAAATAGGGCACCTGGGTGGCTCAGTCGTTAAGTGTCTGCCTTCGGCTCAGGTCATGATCCCAGGGTCCTGGGATCGAGCCCCACATCGGGCTCCCTGCTCCACGGGAAGCCTGCTTCTCCCTCTCCCACTCCCCCCTTCTTGTGTTCCCTCTCTCGCTATGTCTCTGTCAGATAAATAAATAAAATCTTTAAAAAAAGGGAAAAATATACCAAGAGGAAGAAAACCTTGGTATTCTGTAGCCATAAAGAACATTCATGGTGACTAAGAACACATTTAGTTTTAGTGGTTTGGGGAGAATACCAGCTTGAAACAACATCCCATGGAATGCTTTATGGAGCAGCAGGGACTGGCATTGAGTCAACCAGCCTGGAAATGTCTTCTTTATCAGGCATGCACCTCACTACAGCCAAGGTTCTTTCAAGAAGCTTTCTCAAAGTATAGGATCTGAATATGAGGTTTTCTCTTCTTCTTAGAAGTCTCTTGGATTTCCAGTGGATATATCTTGAAATTCTAAACTAAATTTCAGGCAGAAGATAACGCTTTTCTCTCCTCAGAACATTAATGTTGAAAAAACTCATTCATGTCTTGGTTTGTTTGATAACTTGTATATTTCTGCCACAAGAAAGAGATCAGTCATTGTATCATTTCGGTGCAATGGATACTGCTAATTTTCTTTTTAACCAAATATCTTTGACAGAAAACATTAGCAGTAAATAATTATTATAAGAACTTTCCAATACAGGAAGAGGTGCTTTTTAGGTTTTGTTGGGAGTAAAGCAATCAAAGTGATACTTCTACAAGCAGAATTCAACAAATAGTCAGCATTTTGAAGATTAACTTCACAGAACCTGGAAAGAAGAAAGAGAAAAAAGGAAGCATAGGCACACATTTTTGCACCCCTGCTGAAGAGGACCACAGAAATACTACTACTGTTTTAATGTTGTCACTGACATAGTAATCTAGGAGATAAATAATAATATTATAATAATAAGCTCATTTTATGGACAAAAGAACTGAAGTTTAGACAGATTAATCTACTTGAAAACAAATAGTTATAGAAATAACAAGTAGCAATAGTATCTGATTTGGGAACCCCAATAATATGTATGATATAAACTAATATTGAAATAACATTTGGACATTTTGTCACCATACAAGATGAAGGAAAATTTTTGACAATGATTTTTCAAGATTTACATACCTTGCCTCAAAATCTGTGGTGATGACAATGTTATGCTTTTTTCTTGATTTGTTTTGCCTGTTAAACAATTCTGGTCTACTTGGCTTGGAAAATAGATAACATCTTTCAATCTCTGGTTATTGGTGCAATTTCCAGGCTTTAAATATGTTAAGAGATGATCAACAGCATTCTTACTGTTATCACCCTGGATTCTACTAGTTGTAAAATAGTGAAATAAGCTAGTAGTCCAGCAAAAAAAAAAAACAACACATGAATAAGTTGTCCAAATTACGTGGCTTTCCCCGAGGTTCAGCTGCAATGTACTACAAGCTACTTCTCCATTATTAAATTCTATTCCGATATCTCCTGAGATATGGATATGGGTTAGGGCTTGTGGGGAATGAGAATTACTGTGTGACTTCTGTCTGTACACCCATCTTAACCTAACTGTTCACTGTTTCTTCTCTAGTCATTGCTTCTGAGTTTGGTGAATTGGGTGGAGCTGGGGATAATGGGTATAAGGAACTAAAATAGTAAGGACCAGGAAAAAATTATATCTACTCAGATGTGCATCAAATTCCAAAGCCATAAAAATATTTTGACTCCTGCTGACACCGCACTACCTTAATCCCTAATAGATAAAATAGTTAAAATTAAGCTAAAAGCATACATTGCTAGGAAAACATGGTCATATAATCTTATTTAATTTTGAGATGGGGCACTGGTCATGAATTAGGACTCAGAGGGAGGCTGGATATAGCTAATTGTTAACATTTTCTACACATTATTTGATTATTTATGCTCATAATTAGGCTCAAAACCACAGTGTCTAGAAATAAATGGCATGGAGCTTTCCTCTGTGTTGCAGACTACTGTTTGTTATGTTGTCTCTTCATACATGTGCTCTTTGTTGAATATGCTTTCAGTGGTGCTAGTGAGCAGATGAACCCTAGCTAGTTATTTGCTAGTCATAGTTTCTCTCGTCACAGTGGGAAAAAGTGGTATGGCCAGGGCAGCATTCAGGGAACCCAAACCAGTGCAGGACCGACCAGGTGGAAGGAGGGGTAGAGATACTGTGGCCTGGGCCTCCTCCATGAGCAACAGAGCCTGGGGATGTGCATCTCTGTGATCTGCCTGGAGTGGGGAACGTGTGCATGGACTTGAAAGGGAACAGGCAAATGGTTGGCTGAGCCAGGGACCACAGCACCACCAAATGGAACTGTCTTTTAGCAAAACTGCTGCTGGCCAGTAAGTGAAAATAGACAAAGGATTGCCATCCGCAGGATCCAGTTATTCATGGTTCTCTTGCAAGCTGCTGCAGTCATACATTATTGTGCCATTCTTTTTAATGAATACATTCTCTATCTTGATTTCCTATGTGTTTAAAGACTTATTTCTGTGATTTTTATTCTTAGCATTTGTAATCTCTAACTAAATAAAACGAAAAATTAAAAAAAACATGGATGAGAATACACATGCATGTAAATCTTTTAAGACTGTGCTTGCATAAATGACACTCTGTTTTGTATTTGCCTTCTCTCACACTGAAATACTTTTAGAAATGTATTTGGATTCACAATTCCAATTTTTTTTAAAGTCTCCCAAAGCATCATTACTGTGTTGTGATTCAAAGTTATCTTTTGTTTTTCAGGTTTTTGCATAACAACAAATTATCTAAAATCCCAGCTGGGAGCTTTTCTCATCTGGATTCATTAAGGAGACTGTAAGTGAAAGCAAGTGCACAGACACAAAAACCTTATGATTTCCCCCCAAATAAATAAATCCCAAGCAATGATTTGCCTTTGTCTCCTTTGGCCATGGAAGATCATTGCAATTCTAATGTGTAAGGGAGAAAATGGTTTCGTTAACCGCAGAGCGATAAAGGACGCAGTCTACTGAGCATTCATGTATTCTCTTAGAAGTGACATTCAAAAGGAATATTGAAGATAGAAGTTTCCTTGGTTCTCAGTAATTTCCTTGCTGGTCAAATCTAAAGACTCCCAAGGCTTCCTTTTCCTTTAACTTTTATTTAAAAAGAGGTGTGAGAAGTTCTGAAGAAAGTCTAACTCCTCCGGCCAGGCTTCAGAAGTTTTCCCTAATTGCACGTATGGTTACTGGTAGAGTTCATTTCTTCCCACACTAAACAATTCAGAGTGAACCTCCCAATCCTGTTTGAGCCTCCAGCTGCCTCACTTTTCTCTCTGCCTGTGTGAATAATTCGCCTTTACCCTGATCTGTCTCTTCATCCCGATCTCTGGGTATACTTCTGCATTGTTGATGGATTTGGGGTTGTTGTTTTTTCCCTCCGTAAGTCCCAGTTATCAGGTAAAAGTCCAATGTCCTGCTTCCCAGAGCTAGTTGGAGGGCACGGAGGGGAAAAATTACAAAGGTGTGCATCTCTCAGCTGTCTTGGAGGTTACATTGTTGCTGGTGTCTTTCTGGTGTGATGTGCTCAGGTCCAGGTCCATGGGCAAGGGAATGTTAAGATTAAGTAGATATCAGAACACGGGGGGAAATAAATGTGTGTGGAAATAATGCTTGAAATCATTGTGTTTCAAGGATCATGAATAATCAGGAGGACCATTCATCCAGCCCCAGTCCATCTTGTCAAGTCATTTTCTACTTCCATTGCAGTTCTCACAGCAGGTGCTGCCTACCATCTTTTCTCCTCTGGCTGTGCTCTTTGTGCTCAGACTCACAACTGCTTGCTGATTCTCTTTTTCTGTCAAAATTTCCTTACTTCTCAGAACTGGTTGCACCACAGCCATTTGGAGTAGTATGCGCATTGATTCTTGTTTGTTGTCATAAAAGACTTTATCTTTTAGAGCAGTTTTAGGTTCGCAGAAAGTACTGAGACTTCCCACATACCCTCTCTTCCTACACAGCCTCCCCCAAGATCATCCTCCACGGGAGTGGTACCTTTGCTAAAATTTATACCCCATAATCACTCAAAGTCCAATGTCCTGCTTCCCAGAGTTCACTCTTGGTATTGTACCTTGTATGAGTTTAGACGAATGTATAATAACATATATCATCACTATAATGTCATAACGGAATATTTTCTCTGGCTTAAAAGTCCTCTGTGTTCCACCTATTCATCCTCTCCTCCCCCTAAACTCTGGCACGAAGCATTTTACTGTCTCCATAGTTTTGTCTTCTCTTGAATGTCATATAGTTGGAATCATACAGTATGCAGCCTTTTCAGATTAGCTTCTTTCATTTAGTCATAGGCATTTAAGATTCTTCCGTGTCTTTTCATGGAAATCACTAGCTAATTTCTTTTTCGTGTTGAATAATATTCCCTTGTCTAGATGTACCAATGTCTTTATCTATTCACTACTGAAGAACATTTGTTGGCTTCCACATTTTGGCAATTATAAATAAAGCTGCTAGAAACATCCGTGTGTAGGTTTTTGAGAGGACATAAGTTGCACTTCTTTTGGATAAATACAAAAGAGCATGATGCTGGATGGCATGCGTAAAGTATGTTTAGTTTTATAAGAAATTGCCAGACTGTCTTTTGAAGTGGCTGTACCATTTTTTAGTCCTGCCAGCTGTGAATGACAGCTCTCTTGCTCCACACCCTCATCAGCATTTAGTGTCCTCAGTGTCCTGGGTTTGGCCCTTCCAACACATATGTAGTGTTACCTCACTGTTGTTTTAACATTCTTGTTTTTAAGTCACATCTGGAAAATGAAAAATGCCAAGGCATTGTGTTACCAATATTTTTTTTACTTGCCATCTTTCTCTTTTGTTGGATTTATGTCTTGTGGTTAGAGTCACTTTCTTTGTATATTTGCAATTATAATTCCCATGAAATGTTTCTTTTTCTACATACATTTCTATCTGGGTATCATTCTTGACTTCTAAGACTCTCAGAAAGTCTTGAAATGCTAAATTTCTTGTTTGTTTTTCTAATCCCTTTCTATTATTCTTTCTTGTTAAATTTTAGTAGCAGTTTTTTTGTTCTAACTTCTTAATTTAATGAAACAGCATTCACTCTATTGCTGGAACACACACAGAGAAATAAACACTAATAAAGAAGCAGAGGGAGACCCTACGTACAGTGATGTGCCAGTATGTATCTTTTATGCATGTGCTATATGTATTTCAAATGTTTTAAGGCAAGTATAAGAATATTAGTATGTTGTGTTGATGAAACATCTGTTTTCATAGATGGTACACTGATCACTTATGGTCATGGTAAACTGACATACAGATGATTTGAGCAAACTCTTCCAGGGTTCTACTGGTCAGTCTGAGATGGCGAGCACTGGTACCTAGTTATTCCAAATCCTCAAACCCATGCTTGTCCAAGCTGTAATTTACACATGAAAATCAGAATAAAGGAAAGTGACTGAGGGCTAGTAAATAAACTACACGTACCATCCAATAAATTCTATCTTCCACATTGAAGTCTCTCAACAGCTGGGGGAATGTTGCTTCAGGGCTAGCACCTGGGAGTCTGAGAAACCTGTGTGAATCACATTTGCCCTATCAACCCAGGAGCTGTGTGTGACACCTGATAGCAGTTTCCCCATCTGTACCATATTGTTTCTAACTCATGACAACCACATTCCTTCCAAGAGTACTGAAAAAATTAATGAAATGCTTTTTAACAGTGCTTTTGGGTCTGTAAGTGAAAGGGATTATGCAAGTACAAGTGATATATTACTCCATTTTCAAATAGAAAGATTTGAATTTGAATTTACCCCATGCTTTTCGTTCCCTTTCAAATTGCCCATTGAGCAGTGAACAGGCCCAAGGGAGTAATTATTTGGGTGTTGTGATTCTTGACTGAATACTATCAAAAGGCTGTCTTTTATTTAGCACACTTGGTGTGACATTTGATTTAAGAGAACTTTCAAAATAGAGAACAGTAAAATGGCAATGATTTTAAGCATAGGGTACTACTACTAAGTATGGTCTAATACAAATTAAGACAACCCTCCTTTACTATTGATTTACTTGATAGCTTTTTATTTTTCAAAATTTATGGCTTTAAATTATAGGCAATGTTTCAAAGAATGCTTTCCCAGTATGAATTTGGAAACACTCTATTTATGGACTCCCCAAATGGACTTTTGTACAAAAATACAGTTCTAGTGCTATATATTTTTTTCAAATATAAAGGAGGTTTTTAAGTGGCAAGTGAAAAAGAATTCCATAGTTGTTTTATTCATGTTTTATATCCCGGCTATAGATGAATTTTTTAATTGAAGTCAATGGTCATAAAAAGAAGAAATTAAATCTTATGCTCAAGTGTTGCTAAAACACACAAGCATGAGGATACGTATGGGAAAATATTGATCACTGATTAATGGAGGGTTGATATATAAGCAATGATGATGTCAAGGAAATGGAAAATTCCAAACTATTAGGGTCCCATGACTATGATGTTCCCAAGGAAGTTATGTTGATGTCCTGGCTTTTGTTCAGCTTGGAAACCTCATGGTGATACTGAAGCAAGAATTTACACCTTAATATTTAACAACAAAAAACTGCTTTTGATAAAATTACCAGACATTAATCTCAAAACATGATTAAACTAAAAAACAGGAATCAGAATGAACTTTAATGTTGAAATATATCTGCTTTTTAACAAAGCAGCTGATAGAGTAAATCAGTCAGTGATATGGAATAGCCAAGGACACTGAACCCAATACTTTGCTGAACAAGTGCTAGTCAACTGTTATGTCTTTTACATCACTCCAGACAAGGCTGAAAGTATTCTCCATTTCAGTTATGGCTTTTTTCCTTCAGTTTCATGTGAAATCTTGATGGAAGCATTAAGAAAATAAAATCCATACCATTCAGCAACTTTTTAATGAGTGTAAGATTTTTTTCCCCTTAATTTAACAATTTAATGCTCTAAATATAGCTACTCTTTTTAGAGTAATACAATTTAAGTACAATATAACTTAATCTTGTGAACTAAGCATCTACAATATACTTCACAAAATTATCAGAAAATAAATCTTTCTTAAATTTATTTAAAAATGTACAGTTTTCTGGAATTATTATAATCCAAATCTAGAGAAGAACATGAATTTTTTTACTTTTAGAAAAAAACTGTTCTAGTAACTTGATATTAATACAGACTCCTAAGTTAAAACAGCTAGGATTTTTAATTTTATATGCCTATTGATTCTTTAAATTCCTTTGTTTGTTTCCCAAATGATTTTTTTAATTTTTTAAAAAGATTTTATTTATTTATTTGACAGAGAGATAGAGAGCACAGGTAGGCAGAGAGGCAGGCAGAGGGAGAGGGAGAAGCAGGCTCTCTGCTGAGCAAGGAGCCCGATGCGGGACTCGATGTGGGGCTCGATCCCAGGACCCTGGGATCATGACCTGAGCCGAAGGCAGACGCTTAACCGACTGAGCCACCCAGGTGCCCCCAAATGATTTTTAAGGACATTTCATACAATTATTAAAAAATTATGGCATTTTAAAATTCTGCTTAAAAATCACATTTGGCATTACTTATTACAATAAAATTTGAACAATGTAACCCTTGTCACTATCATAAATATATCCATATTATCATTTCATCTCTGGAATTCCCTTGTGCAGAATGTGACCTGATCACTGCTATAGACAGACTTGTGGATTTCATTTAGCTAATGCTGCCCTTTAACCCTTGGGATCAATGAAAGAGATAATTTATCATATCTGTGCCCTTTTGCTATATATCTTTTGGCAAGAATGGAGGTATACATCATAAATCTCTTTGGTTTTCTATCAATTTTATTTCATGAGGAAAAAAAGTGCTGGAAAGGATTAGGAAAATATAGTAAAACTTAGCAAAAGTGAAGAACTTGTGGGCCTAGATTAGGAAATATCACAAAAAAATATGACAGGCCTGCCCATCACGGTTTCTAAGAGACAATTCCAGATGTGGACCTTTGTAAAATGGTGTCATTTTCAGTGATAGCCAGGCCTTTTAGTACACACAAAAAAGAAAATTTTAAAAGTCCCTGTCTCTAACCTTTAGGGAAAATTGAAAACACAAAGGAACACATGCCTATCCATATTGGATGTCAAGGTGGTTTACAAGAGAAAAGAGCAAGTCATCTAGGGCAGCCGCACAAACTATACACAGCACATTTATAGGCCTCCTTTGGGTAAGAAAGCATCTACTCTTAAAAGTAACATCTATGAAAAAGTTTAGAAAAGCAACACCACCAAATATAAATTCTCTGTTCCTAACATGTAAAAGAACTATAACATTTCAATATGTATAGTTTTAATTTTTAGTCTTCTCTAAAACAAGTAAGTTTTCATTTTATCTTACAGTTATTTATTTAAATCAAATAGTATACTGCACGTTAAGTAAAATGCATGTTAAGTAAAAACCACTTTTTGAGTCTCAAAGTGCTTTCCAAAAATATTTAATATGAAAATATATCTATTTCTGTTCAAGAAATGCAAACAGGTAAGCATGTGTTTTAATCTGTTAATTGGTAGCTAGAAATCCTAGAGCCAAAAATGTGACTGAGAAGGTAAATTACAGGAAGTTAAATATTTTAATTCAGAAGATTCAAAAGAAATTAATAGTCACTTTCAACAGTTGTAATTCTTGCCTGCATGCCTAGGCGTCTGGATTCCAATGCTCTAGTTTGTGACTGTGATTTAATGTGGCTGGGGGAACTTATGCAAGGCTATGCCCGAAATGGCCAAACTCAGGCTGCTGCTACATGTGAATATCCCAGAAGGCTCCAGGGACGCTCCATCGCTTCGTTAACAGTAGAGGAATTCAACTGTGGTATGCAATTTTCTCTGTGCGTGTAAAATGGAAATGTCTTTTGTTTGCCCTCTTTTTATAAAAGTTTGTTATACGATGTTGCATTTGGAAGGACATAATATCAGAAAATGTTATCAAGTTCTTTAGTTAAAAGTATGGTCAATTTCCTTTTCAGCATCTGCATTTTGATTTAAGAAAGTTTTTATCATTTTAAACAGAGCTGGGATAGTCCTTGAGGATCATTTAATCCAACTTTCAAATTTCAAAGGAGAAATATTAAAGAAAACTATTTTCAACAAGGTCACAGGACACTGTGACCAGCATTAAAGTTTCCAGTTAAACTAGTATTACTTAAGTGTTAATAATCAATAATTGAGGTTTTTCAACTTTAGATCAAATAATTATTAATATTCATAATAGTAATGCAAACTTTGGATTTGGTAAGCATAGTTCATATTCTGACAACTTCAATAATTCTCTCAGACTTTATTTGAAGATCCAAGTATAACTTCTTAGGAACTTTTTGGTTCTCGGGGCGCCTAGGTGGCTTAGTCTGTGCCTTCCACTCAGGTCATGATCCCAGGGTCCTGGAATTGAGCCCCATGTCGAGTTCCCTGCTTAGTGGGGAGCCTGCTTTTCCCTCTCTCTCTGCTGCTCCTCCTGCTTGTGCTCTCTCTCTCTCTGTCAAATAAATGAATAAAATATTAAAAAAAGAAATTATTTGATGCTCACTTAAAGCTTTTAATATAAATAAAGGAATATCTACCTGTGTATCTATCTAATCTATTTTTTATATATAGCTTTAAATATGAATAAATGAATATACTTACATACGTGTGCATGTGTGTGATAATTGGGCTCCTTGAAAATTTACTCAGGTGATAGCTTACAGCAGAAATTTGCTTTCTAGTGCTCTATTCATTGGAGGCCAATTTTTGAATTTCTCTAAGGAGGTCATTTGGAAAATTATATTAATATAATTTAATTCCATCCAGATGGAGAAGCAAAATGACTTGGTCTTTATTTCCAAATAAATCTCAAATTTGTCCTTACCTTCCATCTTTACTATCAGCTTGGAGTTTATGTCATAGTCAAGTTTGCTGGGAACACAGAACATCTTAACTGCTGCCCCAGCCTTCATTTTCTTCCCTCTCCAATTGTATTTAGGGAGATCTTTTAAAACACTGGTATGTTACTGGGTAAAAGCAATACCAGTAATTCTTTCACTCTCTTTTATAGCTTCCCATGCCTTCAAATGAAACACCAAATCCTTAACAACGCCATACTTCCTATATGTTGTAGTCCTTGGCTACTCTGTAACCTTGATTCATTCTGCCCCTGCCTCTGCCCAGTGATGTTTAGCCATCATGATGTTCTTTCAGTTCCTAGAAGTTCTTAAGATTTTTTCCAACTCAAGGACTGGCTATATGCTATTTACTCTGCCTACAGTATTCTTCTTGCCTCTCCTCTTTTAAGGGCCCTCTTCTTAAATGTTAATTACTTGGAAAGGCTTTATTTAATTTTGCTCTCTACCCACCTTCTCCCTACCACACACACGCTGAGTCAGGTCCCTTTTTATAATCTATCAAATCACCATTTACTTTTCTTAGCACTTATTACAACATTTTATTATACATTTTTGTGTTTGTTTACTTTCAGTTGTTTCAATGAAACTATAAGCCCACGAGTACAGAGACTTTGTTTTGATCCCTGTTTTATCACTGTCTTAGCACTGTGCCTGACACACTGTAATGTTGAATTATTTTTTAAAGTAAACATGTAAATGAATCAAACAATTTTTCTAAAAAGGGTAAGGCCAAGATGTTGGTTATATGGACTTGGTGATGAAGCGGTTAAGATTAATAGAGATCTATGCAACATTCTCCAGACATGTTAGATCTGGTTATTTATTAATGACTGAAAGTCTCAAATGATGCACTTATTAAAGAAAGAGTTTTATCATTTAGAAAGGTTTAAAAATTAGGTTTGCTGTAGAAAGGTAATTTCTACATTGTTTCTCTATAATTTAAATTCAATAATATTATCTGGTTCATTAAATATCAATCACTCCACTTCCTTATTAAAATAATTTAAATGTTTCCATGTTTTACCACTAATTATTATTTGAGAATGGAAACATTCATTTATATTAATAAGCAATTTTGCTCAACCAGGTTTGAGGTCTAGACATACAAATTCTTATAAATTTTATAAAGTGCGTAGTTAGATGGCTAATTGTCTAGAAGAATGCCTACAAAATTGCAAGCTCAACTGAAGTATTTGGCTTAAAATACTGACCCATAAAATCAAAATCCTTCCATAAATATGGCTGTAAAAGGCACAGGGAAATTTATTTAATTTACTTCATTGGAGATTCCTTTATGCAGTGAATCTTTCAAACTTCTAAAGTTTTGTTAAATATATGTCTAACATTGAAACTGGTATGTTACTGGGTAAAAGCAATACAATTTGTAAAACTTTAATGTAGAAGGAAATTAAAATTATCTGTAGTCCTTTGTCAATAATATCTTAAAGTACTGTAATTTTGTATCTTTAAAAGTATACCAATAATTCTTCTGTTACAGAGAGTCCTCGAATTACTTTTGAGCCCCAAGATGTGGAAGTAACATCAGGGAATACTGTCTACTTTACTTGCCGGGCTGAAGGAAACCCCAAACCAAAGATTATTTGGATACATAACAAGTAAATACTGAGCATGGGCATGTGTTGTATTCTCTTTCAACTTTCATTAACCCATTTATCTTGCTTCAAGTTTATCTAGAGATGAATTTTCCAAAATTGTCAGTATTTCTGGACATTTCATAAAAATCTCTTTTAACTTTCATCTTTTGACTTGCCCAAAGTATCTGGAAGACTTCTTAAAATTGTATATTTCCAGACATCAAAGATTGTGAAATCGAGTAAAGGAATTTTGTATTATTTCTAGAAGGAAATATTGGGATAATAACAAACTAGTATGTATTAAAATCTGAACATAATTAGATATAACCTCACCTTAATTATTTTAGTTTCAACCTGGTATTTTACACTTGATGTAAATTTCACATAGTAAATCAGTATAACATTATGTAAGTAAATTGGAAATAAAAGATATGCCAGATTACTTAAAATGCTAGTCATTTATTTTATTCTTATTGCACTATTTGATAAAACATGGTATCTACTAGTCTAAAAGTCTGTGAATATAAAGTTGAATAGTAATAACAAACTTATAAAAAGTTAAAATAAAAGTTTAAAAGAGGAGTGGGAAATGAATTATATATTTGATACAATTCAATGATAATACTTGGACAATTATATTATCATTAATTACATTATTGGTAACTAGCATGGTTTGCATGTGTCTCTTCCATGCCTCCACAAAATTTCATTGTTTTCTGTCATGTGTATAATCAACTCTAAATTTTAATGCTTTTCTTTATAAAATATTCTGATATAGTTTGTGTCTTTTTTGTATATAATTTGTATTTGTAATTGTAGTAAGAAACCCGGGCATGTTTATAAAGTGTGTTTTTAATTCTAGCAAAAAACTAATAAGTATAGGTTAAAAATAGCTTGGAAAGAAGGCAATTATGAATACTATTAAATCTGGAATCTGGCTCAGGAGAAAGACTTCAATTGATAGAAGACATCAATTTATTTCCATCTGGAGATAGTTCAAGGGTACTTGAGAAATAGAAATTGCTGCTTATAATGTCTTCCAACTGCTTGCTCTGCCTTCTTACAGTTTAAATTAAGTCATTATGTGTTCAAGGTTATAAAGGTACTGACTAGTATTCAGAAAGGGACAAATAAAAAATCATATTGCTTGATGGAATGTATGACATACGGGTTTTAAATATGGTGACTAAGGAAACTAAGATGCATTTCAAAAGAAACAAAGAAATTGAAAAAGAAGGAATAAAATGAAGGAAAGGTGAAGCATAGGTAGAAATTTCTGTTATATTAGCCATTTCATATAGAAAAAAAATAGAAACGAAAGGGAAGAATTTATACCAAGAAATGTTTAACATTAACAAGTCTTGCTGATTATTTGTCATAAAGTATTTTTTAATAAAAAGATAATATATATACTGAAAGTGCATGAAATATACCCTATATTACAACTGGTAATTTGAAACAAGCATGTTTAACATAAACTAAGCTAAGAAAAAAAAATATTGCCAATTCATTAGAAGCAACCTAGGTGTTCCTTCCTTAACATTCTCCTGTTTTCTTCCCCTGGAGATAACCTCTATCCTGACTTTAGGGTTCATAGAACAGTGAGTTAAGAACTGATTAGACACAAACAAAGGTAGAATTAGAGAATTAGAGGGTATGTCTGTTGGAGTATATTAGCTATCAGGATGGTTAAGAAACATGGAAACTATAATCCAAAGGTCCAGGACATATTCACTAGGAATTCCAGAAAGAGAAGTTAGAAATAATGAGCTGGAGTCAATGTTTAGAGAAGTAACAATGAGAACTTTTCCAGAAATGAAAAAAAATCATGAGATTTCAGATTAAGAAAGGTACTGATTCCCAACAAGGACTTAAAAAAGGAATCTGTATCTGGTACATTATGATCAGAAAATTGAAAGAGATGGAGGAGGAGCAAGATGGCAGAGGAGTAGGAGACCTAAATTTCATCTGGTTCCAGGAATTTAGCTAGATGGTTATCAAACCATTATGAACACCTACAAACTCGACAGGAAATCAAAGAAAAGAATAGCAGCAACTCTCTGAACAGAAAAGTGACCACTTTTTGGAAGGTAGGACATGCGGAGAAGTGAATCTGAGGTGATATTCAGAAAGATAGACTGCGGGGGGAGGGAGCCTCTGTCAGCTGGCTACTGGCAAGTGATAGAGAACGGAGCACAAAATTGGAACATTTAGAAGTCTGCTCTGCTGAGGGACATCACTCCAGTGGCTAAGTAGGGGGTGGAACCCTCGCTGGGACAGTATGGTCTCAGGACCATCAGGGTCACCGAAAGACTGGGGGTGACTGAGTACAGCACAGCTTCCAGGTATAGGAGCAGGGAAGCCAGCTCCAGAGACAAGGAGTGGGCTCTCAGATCTGGGTTGCCATAAACCGTGATCTGTGGCACAGTCAGGCCACTGCTCTCTCCGAGCAGGGACTCAACAAGCGGCAGATCTGGTGAGACTCCCCTTCCTCCCCTAGGAAGAGCAGCACAGGAGTGCACTGCAGGGATCTGCAGGATTTGGAGACTCCAAACGGGGTCAAGTGCCAGAGATAGAAATGCTCAGTCACAGGCCAGGTGAACATGGAGTGCGGCCAGAAACCGGGGAGACAGGAGTGATTGACTGCTTTTCTCTGGGGGCTCACTGAGAAGTAGGGTCCCAAGTTCTTGGCCCTCTGGGGTGGAGATTGGGAGGCCACCATTTTCACTCTCATCCTCCAAATCTGCAGGGAAAGTTTGCAGGAAACAAAAGCTACCCAGAGCAAACACGAGCAGATTACTTAACCTGGCCCCCCGCAAGGGCAGGGCAATTCTGCCTCAGGCAAAGACATTTGAGAACCACTGCAACAGGCCCCTCCCCTAGAAGATCAGCAAGAACAGCCAATCAAGACCAAGTTTACCAATCAATGAGAATGGCAGAACTCCATCACTAAGGGAATACAGCACATAGAGTTCATGGATTTTTCTGCCTGATTTTTTAGTTTTTCAAAGTTAAATTTTTTAATTTTCTTTTTTCTTTTTCTATTTTTTTATTTTTTTTTCTCTTCTCCACCAACATCTTATCAATCCGTTTTTTAAAAATATTTTTTATTTTTCAATTTTAGAGTCATATTCTATCCCTTCATAGTAGTTAACCTTATTTTTGGTATATATATCTATATATATACATATAAGTTCTCTCTTTAAAATTTTGGGATACAGTTTCTTATAGCAGATCAAAATATACCCTAAATCTCTAGTATATGGCTTTGTTCAGTCTCCTGCCTGATCATATTCACCCTCCCCCCTTTCTTTTAAATTTCTCTTCTTTTTTCAACCAACTTCTTATCTTATCAATTCCTTTTATAAAATCTTTTGTAATTTTCATCCTTATGGTCATATTCCATCCCTTCATCATATTTATCCTTATTTTTGTACATATACAAGTTTTTCTTTCTTTAAAATTTTGGGAGGCACTTCCTTCTAAAAGAACAAAATACACCCAAAATCTAGTGTGTGGCATTGGATCTATGCACCAGCCTGATCATATTTGATCATATTCTTTTTATTTTTATCTTTTTCTTTTTTTCGCTTTCTTTCCCTCTCTTTTCCCTAGGTTTCAGATCTCTTCTGCTTTGTTTAGTTTCTGGGGTCATTGTTATCCTGTTAGTATTTTGTTCTCTCATTCATCTATTCTCTTCTGGACAAAAAGACAAGATGGAAAAGTCACTTCAAAAAGAAGAACAAGAGGCAGTACCGATTGCCAGGGACCTAAACAATATGGATATTAGTAAGATGTTGAACTAGAGTTCAGAATGACGATTATAAAGATACTAACTGGGCTTGGAAAAAGCATGGAAGATACTAGAGAAACTCTTTCTGGAGAAATAAAATAACTAAAATCTAACCGAGTCAAAATCAAAAAGGCTATTAATGAGGTGCAATAAAAAATGGAGGCTATACTGCAAGGATAAATGAGGCAAAAGAGAGAATTAGTGATATAGAAGACCAAATGGTGGAGAAAAAAGAAGCTGAGAAAAAGAGAGATAAACAACTACTGGCTCATGAGGGCAGAATTCAAGAGATAAGTGATACCATAAGATGAAATGATATTAGAACAATTGGGATCCCAAAAGAAGAAGAAAGAGAGAGATGGGCAGAAGGTATATTGGAGAAAATTATAGAGGAGAACTTCCCTAATTTGGGGAAAGAAACAGGCATCAAAATCCAGGAGGCACAGAGAAACCCTCTCAAAATCAATAAAAATAGGTCAACAGCCCGACATCTAATAGTAAAACTTATGAGTCTCAGAGACAAAGAGAAAATCCTGAAAGCAGCTCAGGACAAGAGGTCTGTAACCTACAATGGTAGAAACATTAGATTGGCAACAGACCTATCCACAGAGACCTGGCAGGCCAGAAAGGACTGGCATGATATATTCAGAATACTAAATGAGAAAAATATGCAGTCAAGAATACTATATCTAGCTAGGCTGTCATTGAAAATAAAAGGAGAGATAAAAAGCTTCCAGGACAAACAAAAACTAAAGGAATATGCAAACAGGAAACAAGCCCTACAAGAAATACTGAAAGAGGTCTTCTAAGCAAAGAGAGAGCCTAAAAGTAACATAGACCAGAAAGGAACACAGACAATATACAGTAACAGTTACCTTACAGGCAATACAATGGCACTAAATTAATAACTTTCAGTAGTTACCCTGAATGTAAATGGGCTAAATGCCCCAATCAAAAGACACAGGGTAGCAGATTGGATAAAAAAAAAAAAAAAAAAAAAAACATTGATATGCTGTCAGCAAGAGATTCATTTTAGACCCAATGACACCCCCAGATTGAAAGTGAGGGGGCGGAAAACGATTTACCGTGCTAATGGACTCCAAAAGAAAGTTGGGGCAGCAATCCTTATAAGCAGGCAAATTAGATTTTAAACCAAAGACTGTAATAAGAGGTGAGGAAGGACACTATATCATACCTAATAGGTCTATCCAACAAGAAGATCTAACAA